ACACCTTCAAATGGTTTGGCCACGGTTGGTTACAGCGTTGGAACTTGGCAAAGGTCTTATCTAAGGCTCTTGACAGAACTTCCAAGGACCAATCTGACCCTGAAGATTGCTCTGCATCCGCCAAGAAGACCAGTACAGCATGCCCATGCATGAGGCAACAGGTAAATTCTAGCTCAGGCCTTCTTTTGTTTTCGAGTGGTTTGGGAGTTCTGCCATATGGGAATCGAGGAAGCCTGAACTTGCTGTGGTCCATGGAGTCGATTGTACAACAGAGGACATCTCTTTGCACCTTGGCACGAACCTTTGTTTGCTCATAGCATTCACGATCTGCAAAGATTCCACCAAGATGGCGCATGTATTGATCTGACGCTTTGGCATGTTGACTAAGATCATTTGAATGCTTGATGGCACTCTTGAGTTTGTTACAGATTCTGCATTGGGCATGGGTAGACCAAGCCCGAAATTTGATCTTTGATCGCCATCCTGATGATTTCAACACCCTGAAGAATGTTGAGGCAGAAGCACATGGCTGTCCTTTTGCAAAGCATTCTGCTTGGTATAGCCGGAATAAGTCAGAATAGTTTCCTGGAGGCATGTAGCGTCTGGGTAATGTTGAAGGATCATGATTCCCAATGCCCACACTTGCATTGAACGAGTTGCTCATAAGCGCATCTACCAATTTCTTCCTACCTGCTTCTGTAGATGCCCATTGCTCTCTGGGATTGAAGTTCATCCTCAAAGTGAAAGCATTCAGTTATCCAGCTAAGTATGTTGGTGTTTAGCTAGGACACTTTTTGATTTGGAAAACTAAGCCCCAAACTCATGTGGAAGTGTCTCTGCTATGCCAAAATAGGTCTTCTGCAGAAAGGACATAACAGATGCCCTAGCTGGGGCTGAATGATGGTGTTGTCCTTGATTGCAACATGCTACACTAGACATTTGTCTTTGTAGACTTCAAAAGAAAACAGTGGGGGAGCAAGGACATAAGGAAACCTTTCAAAACTTCATGTCCAGGTTCCCAATCCTCTGAGATCCATACCCCTGAAATTTTTCTTGCAGCGAGATAGACGCTCTCGACCAATCCCAAGGATTTGCAGCCACGCGAGTTGACACACTTGTATGCCTAGGCAGGAAAGACTGTGGACAGGACAGGGCCTGGGGGATGGCGACAGCATGGCAAACAAGCTACCTTGCAAGAACCATGAAGCCTTTGGTGCACCAGACTCTGAAGAGCTGCCAGAGGAGGATGCACTAGAGGCTTCTGACTCTGAATAGTCGCTGTCATGTTCTGGCTCATCCAAACTCTCATCAGCTTCCATCAAAATAGTTGGATTCTGTATACTCCAAAGCCTTTGTGAACATCCCAAGGAAGTCTTCCCTCCCATATTGGAACAACCAAACCAAAACATTACAAAACAACTGACTAAAACCACAGAGTTGTAAACAGGCCATGTTGCAAACCATCCTGAGCTGCCTTGGTCAGTGACCAGAAAGCTATGCATATTCGCATTGCATGTTGGAAGCTAACAGATCGCTTGCACTTCGCTTTGCAGCATTCTTTCTTGAGGGCCACTTGCACACGCTCACGGGATTTCCCATTAGCAGAATAGGAAGTTTCTTTGCCTAGGATGGTAAAGTCTCAAGCAGTTCAGGTATGTTTCTTGGACTAGACTGACAAGAAAGTACACAAATCAAGCTGAAGTTGCTTCTGTCATCTATCTCGAGGGATTGAAGCTGGTTCCAACTAAGACTGCGCATGGTGTCAATTTCTGTGAAAGCCTTCTTCTTTGCAGGCTCTTCAGCCTCTGAACTGGAACTGGAGCGTTCTTCAACATAGCTGCCACTGCCGCTAGACGAAGAGGAGGAGGCACTAAACCGTGTGAGTGCCATTGCACCCAGAACTAAACCAAAAACCTAGATCGAATGATGGAACATATATTGTTTGTTGAGAAGCCACATTGTTTCATTGGTTGGGTGTTTGGTAATGCTAGCTACACAGTTGATGGTAAACAGCTACAGCAGTCACAAAACTGTGCAAACATGAGAACTAGTGTTCAAAAGACTTAACAGTAACACCTCCCATTGGAACACAGTAACATTTTCCATGCCCACAGCCAGTCACCAACCAGACCGGTGCAGTGGTTGGGAGTCCTCGAGAGTGACACTCTCAGAGTTCCATTTCTGAAGGTCCATCGCTGAGAAGGCTGCAATCCATGCTGCTGCCACTGCACGGATGTTCATAGAGTTGCCAGCAAGGTCCTCGAGTTCCTTGGCTGGAGATCCAAATGGAGTGAAGGACAGGTATGGAGTGAAGGACAGCTAAATGCAAACAAAAGTCTCTTCTCTTGAGGGCCCTCAGGTCCAGCTCATGCACGGGAAAAGATTGGTACAGCAACTTTTCAACATCTGCAGGGAGCAAAGGGGATGACACACAGTGACCCATGCATGTTGCAAAACTCATGTAATGTGTTTTTCTATCTTTTTCGCCTGGCCTATCACATAGCGGTCCAGAGAGATGTCATAGAACTGCCCTCTAGGGGTCACACACGGCATGTGGACAACATGGCCCATTCGCTCAATGCTTTGGGATAAGTTGAGAACTCCACCTTTCACACCTTTTGTGCGGTATACAGCTAGTGCCTCAGTGTTTGCATGTTTGTTCAAGAAACAAAGAACTGCCAAGAAAAGCTTAAGAATCTAAGTTAATCTAAGGTGAGTGGTCCCAGGAACTGCCACCAGGCTGCATGGCGTTGCCTTTGGTTGGAGATGTGACAGACATCCATGCCCTCCAAAGTCTTGGCCACATGCTTTGGATCCAAATGTAATTCCTCCATAGCTGACCAATGCTTCCATGGCCATCGTGGCTTCTTCTTATCAGGCCTTATTTAGTTCCCCCAAATAACATACTCCTAAACTTCAAGGCCTGTTCCTTCAGCCAAGGAGCTCTGATGTGAGATTGATTTGTGAAATCCTGCTAGATGCCGTCCTGTCCATTCTTTCCACCACGTCTTTCTGAACCAGTGGATGGTCCATTGGGAACATCAAGCGTTGCCTCAGAGGGAAAGCACAGTGGACAATGATTGCTAATGGTGGCTTTGAATTGTCATTGGAAGACCAACCACTTGTTGCAAACAAAACACCTCAAGGGAGGGTTGCCAAGAACCTTCATAGATTCAATAGTTGATGCCAGCACCTTCTCCAACTTGTCAGCTGAACCAATGTCATCTCGAAGCACCTTCTTGTGGACCAATATGATGTAGACTCGACGCCGCCTTGTGGCATCACCCAATTGAAAAGGATCCACAATAACCTGAGAACAAGGCTTGCCAACCAGGGTAGCAAGTATTGTTCACAGGACCCAAACAAACATGAAAAATTAACAAATTAATGTTCCTGGAAGACACCTTGGCACTAGTGTACCCAAATTGGTTCAGTCGCTGGAGGGCCTTTTGTACCTGCTCCCACACTTTGAGCAGGCCAACAACATTCTCCAAGAGCGCTATGCATGGCCTGTTGCGAGCTATCTCCTGGAGGCATAGGAAGAAAGCTTCTGCAGCTTTCTCCTGCATGTAGCGACTTTGATGATGGAGTTGGGAAAACCTTGATTTGGCACACCCACACAGAGAGACTAGTTCTTGGCAGAAAGAAACCCACAAAAAAACTTAATAGATCTTATGACTAAGGCACGGTTGGCATGGAAAGCCACAGCTGTAAGCATTGCTATGCAGGGCCACTTGAGAAGTATCACGGTCTTTCATGCAGGTAAAGATCCTGACTGCCAAATCGGTGTTTATGCCCTTATGGGATCAAACATGTTCATGGACCCAATGCCCCAAGAAAAGTAAATCATTCTTTTCATGCAAGCATCCTTTTTGGCTGCAAATTGGCCATAATGAACTTGAGTGGTCCCACTGCGTTGTCACACCTGACAGATGGCTGTTGAAGGATTTACACAGTAAACCTTGAACCAATGAAATAGTGAACCAATGAAAACTGGTTTCTCCTTTCCATTGAGTGACGAGGAGATGAGGGTGCAATTGTCCCCCAGCAGCTGCTTCAATCCATAGAAAGAACCTTCAGCCCCACTGCAGTCACTTTGTAAATAAACAGGGTGCATCTTCTGGACAAAGGAGTCCATTCCTCAGGGGAGGTTTGAATCATTTTCCAAGACCAATCCTGTTCACCTTTTCAAACATTCTGCCTGACTTGCGAAGCATTTCCTTGCCCCAACCATCCAAGTGAGCCAGTTGCGCAGGTGTCAAGCTGAAGCTGCCACGGTGCTGCTCTGACCTTCACACTTTATGGTCAGCGTGTGGGAAAAACAATGTGCCTATGCAAGGGGGAACCAAATCAGACAAACAAAGGCAAAACTTACTTTGGCACTGCACAGGTTCAGCTGTGCCGTTGCAGTCCCAAGGGGGTCCATCCACTTTGTCATAGATTTGCTAGATCCTGAAGAATCATAAGAGTACTCTTCCATGTACTCATCTGAACTCCATGTCCCTGATGAACTGTAGTCGTCTTCAAGTTCCACACGTCCTTACTTGGGCAAGTGACCAGAGTAAGAAAAGGTCATTGGTGGCCAGAAAATACAATGGACCATAATGGACAAAACTTACAACAATGAATACATCTCAAGGAACCACAAGTACCTGCCACTGGGCTCCTGCTTCGGGAAGGACTAGATCCAGAACCGCTGGAGCAGCTCATGGCTGGCAGTGTTTCAGGTGTTTGCAATCTAAACATGATTTTCTTGACCATGGCTTGACCTTAGCTTTAGTGACATTCAATCAGCCAATACCTCATAAGCTCATAACCTCATTTGAGCTGAATGGCCACAGGACCTGGTTCCACTTGGCAAAGGTTCTGGTTTCCAAGCCACTGTTTTATTAGTATATCTTTATCCTTGGAACATCCTGTAGTCAACCTGTAATGCAGTTTTATGACTTCACAGCTTTGCGCCAGAAGATCCGTTGCTTTTCGCCAGATCTTTTCTCCAGGTTGTGGTGAATGTGCTCATTGTTTCGGGCGAACGTCTTTTCGGCACGTGCCCCGATTCACAGACGATGTTTGTTTGCGAACGATCATGATTGACCACCTTGGACAATTTTGTTGGAAGATGTTGGAAGGGTGCTGCGTGACTGTATAGAAAATCTTAGTGTGCATGCGCATATACACTGATACGTACATACACATGTGTATATTGTTCCACCAAATGCCCAGCTAATTTCCATGTTGGCAGAGCTGCATTTTGCCGGTTGCTCCTCAGGTGCAGCCATCATCCATACCGCTTAAACTGGTTCGTGATCGGCTTCACAGCGGCCTTGGCCCAGGGCTCATTGATACTTCTCTTGCTGCTTTTGGCACCTCGGTCTAATCTGGCCTGACCCAACTTGGGGCTTCACAAAGGTATCGTCCTTGTTAATAGGTTAGCAGGTCCCAATCCTGCAGCCCAGAAGTGCCTCCCTAGAAGGTATACTGTATTTAAGAAATATAAAAACAATATATATATTGGAGGTTTTTGAAACCGTGACTTTTGGGCTAGCATGCCAACCTTGACGGTTGAAGCTTTGCGGCCCGAGCTTTTGCAAGGTGGTCGGCCGCGGCCATGGTGCGGTGGCGCTGGGCCCCGTTTCTGGTGGGCTGGATCGTGGGGCCCAGCCAAGGATGGTGGCAACCTGCCGAAGAGGAGGGAAGCCCGCCACCGAACAGCACCTGCTGGGAGGAGCCGTGGAGCTGCATCCAGCACAGGGTGAATGCCACGATGCTGGCCGCCCAGACCCAGTACAACTCCCTCACGACTTGGGACAGTATCCTGTGGACGGTTCTGGATACCCTACTGAGTGGAGTTGGCTGGTTGATCTTCGGCCAAAACTGGCTTCAGGTGCGCACTGGATGCTCGATGATCCTCCGCATCGTGACCTTAATGGCAGTATGCCTGGTGCTCCACTACTTCCTCTCACTGGCATGGCCTTTGTGTTCCCTCCTCATCGGGACGATCCTCACCGTGGTTTGGTTCGTGCGGGCCTGTGTGCGATGCTGCGGGCGGGTGGCCTTCTACACCCAGAGGATGGCCGGCGGTGTTCCAGAGATCACAGGTGCCACTTTCTTCGGGCCCGATACGGGAGAGGTTCCGGAGACAGCTGACTTGAGGAAGTTGAAGAAGGGCACCAATGAGGACCGATGGGTACTCCTTCGACGGGATGGCCATGTCGTGATCATCAAGGTGACGGAGAATGCCGCCATTAAGTCCAGTGGCATGTACCTGAGCTTTGATCCAGAGGCGACCCGCGGTGACCCTCCCCTCCTTTTGGCTCTGAAAGGCTACGAGAGGGTGCACCTATGCCGGCATGACAGCTGCCCTGAAGATGGGCAACACTTCAAGAGCTATGCCCTGGCTCGGCAATTGAACCCGGAGAAGTTCCACCTGATGTCGACGGCTGAAGGAGCACATCGGTCAGGGTCTCGATTGATGGGATGGTTTTTCTCCAAGGCCAACCAGACGGCTAAGAAGCTGAAGGACTACGCCTCCGAGTCAGAGCATGAGGAGACAGCTTGTTGCTGCGCCCACCTAGTGAGGTGGGAAAGCTCTGCCGGGAAAGAGGCCTTGGGAGACAGGCCGTGTGACAAGGCTGCAACTAATCAGGTGGACCTGCTGGAGGAGGACCTGAATGCTATGCCCTCCACACGAACGCCGAGTTTTTGTCCTGACCACGCGGTTCAATACTTGGTCAAGCGTGCCCCGGCTAAATGCTCCGTTGACGGATGTCGACGAGTGGGTACTTCGACCAGGCAAGGACTCAAGGTGTGCGCGGCCCACGAGGAGCTTCAGACCCCGACTCCAACGAGGAGGTCATCGCGGTCGAGATCCAGGGTGAGGGAACCACCTCCGGGAGAAGATGACGGTGACGAACCACCCGAAGGTGAAGGGGAAGGTCGCCTTCGTCGGAGAGGTCGAGGACGGGAGGTGGCCTATAACACTGACGAGGCGGAAGCCATCCTTCGGGAAGCTCGAGAGGAGGAGGTTGAGACAATGGCTATCCATCCTTCCAGGAGGAGGAGGGTTGCATCACCCGGGCACACCCCGAAGTCCTCGGTCCAACACAGCCTGGCGAGGATGGGGCTCATCAACTCACCTGACCGACGGGTGGACATGACATACCTGGAGGAGTTCATGGAGCAGCTCGCGGATGGCAAGGACCTGCAACTCAGTGAGGAGGACATCAGGAAGCAGATGGCCGCTCAGTCGGGACTCACTTTGGGAGACCTGACCAGGCAACTCTATGAGCAGGCAACGGAGGAGCAGAGGAAAGGCACCAAAGGCCTCACCAAATTCGGCCAAGTGGCGCAAACAAGCAGCCGCTCAAGAAGGGTCTACACCTCCGTCAGAGTGGAGCCTCATCGAGAAGGACCGGGACGGCGGCGCACCTACTCCATCCAGTGCGACGTCAGGAGGCAAGACTCTCCAGAGTCCAGGACCTGTAGAGACACCACCGAAGAAGAGACTCGCCCTGATACCACCTCCAGGCATTTATGACCCAGACCGGAAGGCTGGCACAGGCCCTGAAGGAAGGGGAGCGAGCACTGAGATGACCGACATTGCCAAAGCGATCCAACAGCAGACGAATGAACTGGCCACTCTCGTCAAAGCCCAACAGGAGTCAACAGCAGGGGCTGGAGGATCCCTGAAGGGGCTGGGCAAGACTTCAGAAGAACTGGTATATCTGCTCCGGGCATGCGGGCAGTATACCGTGCAAGTCGGCGACGGGGAGTACGGCGCCGCACTCGCGCAGGCCTTGCTGACGGCCCAGGCAGGATCATCCACCAAGTTGAGGACCGCTGGCTTCAGGCAACGGGTCACTTCAAGGCTCGCGATTGGCATCGCTGGTCCATACTGGGGGACACAGGAGAAGTATGCCCTCAGTGCCTCGGACTTCGTGCCCTGCACTGACGCGGAGTTGGACCAATTCGCCATCGAGAGCAGGACTGGAAAGCCCTCCAATGAGCAGCGGCCCGCAGCTCCGACCAGGTATGAAGACTGGCTCAACCGTGCAAAACGCCAGAATGACATCTGGGCATTAGTGTACGGGAGCGAATGGAAGGCAGTCCGAGAGCACGCCGTGAACCTGCTGAGCGAGTGGCACATCGGAGCTCCTCACAAGTGGCCCCTTCAAGTGTTGCTTGACGTATGGGAAGAACTCCACTGGCGGTTTCTGGAAGAGCTCAAGGAGGAGTTGAGGAAGATCAAACGGCTGGCTGGAAGAGAGTCCATGACCTTGAACGACCTCAAGTTCTATGCCCTCATGCCGGATGAAGAGGGCAGAGCGCCATTGGAGCTTCCACAGACCTTTGATCTTCGAAGACCGGATGGATGGTTCATGTCTGAGGTAATGCCCCGCATCGAACGAAGGCAGGAGCGGATGCTATGGAAGATGACGTGGGAAGGGGCCGGGAAAAATCGGGCTCAGGGGCAAACCGCTGGAGGAGATGGCGGATCCAAGGAGGAGAAGCTGACCCTGAAGACCCTGTATGGTCCCAAGCTCACGGCAGAAGAGACGGCACGAGCGAAGGACCGGGCACCCACGAACAAGGAGGGCAAGCTCCTGTGTTGGGGCTATTTGTCCCATCTAGGTTGCTCCCAGCAGGGCTGCCAACGAGCTCATGAACCTCTGAAGGGCCCCTTCGAGTCGCTCGATCCGGCAGTTCAACTCCAGCTGTTGAGGCGAGGGGGCTTGAAGCGGATGAAAGCCGAGACCAAGGACACGGCCACCGAGAAGATCAAGGAGATCAGAGCCGGTGTGGCGAAGGACAAAGCCTCGAAGGTCCAGGATGGGAAGGATCGTCGACGCGCTGGTCAAGGAGATCAACCTCAAGGAGAAGGTGAAGGGCATGAGAAGGCCGGAGGACACCAAGGTGTAAGTTGGGAAGCCCCCGAGGAGATGGTGCAGGTTGATTACACGCACCAGGAGAAGGAGTTTGCTGAGCTGGTCGCGGGCCCTGATGCAACCATCTACGAGAATGTTCATCGGGAGTCGCAACCCCATCCAGGGCGAGAAGGTCAAACGGCACCACAGGAAGCTCAAGACCTCGTCAGGACGGCCCAGAAACTGGCAAACAGACCTGTGTTGAGCAAGTTGCAGGAGGCATCGGATGACCTCTACGCCTGGGCATCTACCAGGGTGGCCAACGACCCGGAGACCCCCTTCGAGACGCTGATGGAGGAGATGGTGCAGTTTGGGTTGGGTGAGTTGGCAGCCGAAGCCGCGTACCTCCTCGAAGCTCATGGGAGGGGTCCCAAGGCCGGAAACAAGGCCAGATGCCGTGTCGAGGAAACCCGGTGGGAGGCGGACGGACCAGGTAAAGCCGTGGTACAGATCGATGAGGACTTGTGGGCAATGTGGGACTTCGGGGAGATGGTCCACATGACGGAAGAACTTGCTGGCCTGCTGGGAATGATTGAGCCAGAGAAGGAGAAGCGCCAGTGCGTCACCAAGGTTTTTGCGGCTGGCCTCCTGCTGTCCCAGACAGGAAGGACACCAAGCATGGACGACGTGGAGAAGCTGACCCAGGATTTTCGGCTGGAGCAGGCACGGCTTGCGGTTGAGGCCGAAGGGGTCATGAGCCATCCAGAGGCGAAGGTCGCCCCAGTGGAACATGAACTTCGGATGTACGCCCACGATATCCTCAAGCCTCATCATGACAAGGACTACCGGGCCCTGGCCGTGTTCCCGTTAGCTGCTCTCGAAGAGATCAGGGTCATTGTGGTCCGGGTGGACTATAAAGGGGACATCCTGCTGGAGACGGTGGTAGGCAGCCAGTGGACACAGCAAGACGTGTGGGTGATGATTTCCAAGGGACACATGACTCTGTTGCAGCCTCAAAGTCTGCCGGAGACGCCCTGCTGGACAAGGAGGAGGTCTACCATACCCCATGTTTGGGATTCCGGTACTTCTGGCATCAGCGCCACGATCAAGCAAAAACTGCCCCGGGCATCATTGCGTGTCGACACTGCAAAACCAGGAAAGGAGGTGGTAAAGAAGGCCCAGATACCTACGGATGCTTGAGGAAGACAACTTGCTTGCCGGCGTTGTCTCAATGCGTGGCCGGAGGAGTTCAGACGGCCAAGGCAGTCCATGGCGCCAAAGCTCATGATGGGTTGGTGCTACGGGAGTACTTCGCCGGGCATGGAGTCATCACTCAAGGTTGGCGGGAGGCCGGCATGGTTGCCCTCGAGCCTATCGAGTTGTATGACCAACCCCACCAGCAGCTTGGTCCCCGGCCGGACCACGATCTTGCCAATCCGGCACGGCAGAAACACTATCTGGACCAGCTTGGGCAGCACGAGTCCAACGTGCAATGGATC